TGCACAGAGTTGTCTAGTAATGGTCTGCCAGCAGAGGCACTGCTGAGCTGCCACAGGCTCTGCCCAGCTGCTGTGTGAACTGCCTCAGTAGTGGCAGACTGCCTTGGTAGTGGTAATCGCCCTTCCCCCACTGAGCTAGACTGTCCTGTGTCCAGCTGCACGTGCTGTGAAACTCTCAATCCAGAGTGTTTCAGATTGCTTGTTTTGTGGGGGTGGTACCCACTGAGCCAGATTGCCTGGCTCCCTGTCTCTGCCCCCTCTCAGGTGAATGGGCAGCTCTGTATCCCAGGCATTCCAGGTGCCAGTTGAAACGACTGTCCAGATTTGTGTGAGTTTCTGTGTGCCAACCTGGGACTGGTTGAAGCTGCCATGCTGAAAACTCGTGGTGCTTTTTGGCCAGGAATCTCCTGGTCTGTGGGCAGTGAAAATTTGTTTGGAAATGCAGTGGGCACTCACCCTCTGCATTGTTCTTGCTGGGAACTGTACTCCGGAGCTGTTTATATTCAGCCATCTTGGATCCTCCCATCCATCTCATTTTAAGATCTGTTCCAACTGACTGAGTTTTCTCTTGGTTAAGAGCTGTCTTTTCTAGCTTCTTTGTAGAGCTGGTTTATTTATTTATTTGTTTAGAGACTGAGTCTTGCTCTACGGCCAAGCTGGAGTGTGGTGGCGTGATCTCGGTTCACTGCAACCTCGGCCTCCTGGGTTCAAGCAATTCTCCTGCCTCAGCATCCCAAGTAGCAGAGACTACAGGTACCTACTACCACACCCAGCTAATTTTTGTATTTTTAATAGAGACAGGTTTTCACCATCTTGGCCAGGATGGTCTCAATCTCTTGATCTTGTGATCCATCTGCCTCAGCCCCTCAAAGTGCTGGGATTACAGGTGTGAGCCAATGTGCCCAGCCCTACCTAGATATTTTTTTACTGAATGCCAGACACTGTGAGTTTTACAGATTTGTGTGCTGGAATTTGTTGTATTCTTTTAAATATTGTTGGATTTTATTCCAACAATTGATGTTGTTAATTGAACTCCACTTGAATTTTTTGAAGACTTCTTTTAAAATTTGTTAGGATGGATCCAAAGCCATCTTTAGTCTAGAGCTACTCTGAGGCCATTACTGAGACAATAATGACATCCTCCCACTAGAGGAGTCTACTGCATATCCCATGTATAAACAAAGTCTTTCTAATCAAGTTGATGGAAATCCAAGCTATTCTGGGCCCTGAAGGAGCTTATTCTGTCTAATTCTTACTGGGGGTTCTTTCCCCCACCTTGGGTAGTTTCCTCACATGCAGGCACAGATGAGTACTGGAGGAGATTCCTGTGCATAACTCTAGAGTACACTGTGTGAAGTTGCCTCTTCTGTAGTATTTAGCACATAAATTTTAGTTTCCTTGGCCTCCTTGAACTACAAACTGCCTTACGTTTCTGGTGCCCCCCTCCCTGCTATAGTATAGAAACTCTTTTCAGGCAGCAAGCTGGACAATAATAGTGATGACCTGATTCATTCTCCTTTCAGATATCACGGTCCTATGCTACCTATTATCTAATGTCTGAAAACCATTTTTCTGTCTATTTTCCTAGTTGTTTAAGGTAAGAGGAAATATCTGGTCCCTAATGTTTTATGATGTCCAGAACAGGAAGTCTTAACTGTCTTTTAAAATATCCAAGCCCTATATATTCTCTAAGACCCATATCAAGTCTACTTTATGTCATAAGCTATCTATACCAATCAACTTTTCTCATTCCTCTTAATTCATAGTCTTAGTCAACTTACAATGATTTACCATTTATTTAGCAATTCACCACAGATTAAACCATATGAAATTATTTTTGTAGACTAACAGCAATTTACTATTAGTAAGTACAGGTTTCAATACAATTCTTGTATCTTTTTCAAAGCTAAATAAATTTATTGAATTTTCACTCATTTGTCTCATTAACTAGAGTGAAGGTACACTGAGTCAACATTTCATGTTTCTTGATGATTCCAAATGAGCCCATTACACGGTTTGCACAAAGTACAGACTTAATTCTTATGAGACTGCCTGACTAAAGCCTCTTGTCTCAGCAAATGGCTTACAGTAAGGGTATTTTATTAAGCCATCAGGGAATTGTGAATCAAAACCACAATGAGATCTCACCTCACACCTGTGAGGTTGGCAGTTATAAAAAAGACAAGAGAAAATAGGTGTTGGCAAGGGAAGTGGGGAAAAGGAAACCCTTGTAAACTGTTTATGGGAATGTAAATTGGTACAGCTACTATGGAAAACAGTGTGGAGTTTCCTCAAAAAATTAAGAAGAGAACTACCATATGATCCAGCAATCCCACTCCGGGTATATATCCGAAGGAAATGAAATCATTATCTTGAAGGAAAAGCTGCACACCCATGTTCACTACAGCATTATTCACAGTAGCCAGATATGAAAACAACCTGTGTCCATGGATGAATGAATGGATAAATAAATTACAGTATATACACACACACAAGAATCTTATTCTGCCTTAAGAAGGAAATCCTGCCATTTGCAACAACATGGATGAACTAGGAAGGTATTCTGCTAAGAGAAATAGGCCAGACACAGGAAAATGAATAGTGCATGATAACACTTTCTTAAATGTTTTTCTTTTTTTTTTTCTCTGCCTAACCAGTGTGCTAATGATAACACTTACACGTGGAATCTAATAGTTGAACTAAAAAAGAAAGAGAGTAGAGTGGTGGTTGCCAGACACTGGTGGAGTGGGGGAAATTTGAAGATGCTGGTCAAAGGATATAGATTTTCACTTATGACTACCTACTAGAGATCTGAAGTTCAGCATGGTAACTATAGTTCATTACCACATATTACATATTGTTTATTTGAAATTTGCTAAGGGAGTAAATCTTAAGTGTTCTTACCATGCACACACAAAACAGTAACTATGTCAGGTGACAGACGCTTATTAGCTGGATTATGGGACTCATTACACAAGGTATACTTATAATAAAACACTGTGTTGTATAACTTAAATATATACAATTTTTATGTCAGCCCGACCTCAGTAAAGCTAGGGGGAGGAAGAGTATTTTATTGATCTGGTAACAAAATGTCAGATAGTGAAAAAAATCTATCATATGAGCTTTTCTTGAGTTATTATTCAATGAATAAAAGTCCTTAGTGGGGAGTTTAAGATTCTCACTTATGTTAATGACTTGGTCAATAATATGCAGATTTGAAAAGAATGAGATTCAAATACAAGAGGCTGTTAAGTAGTAGTAATTTTTTTACATTAAAACATTTTATCCAATAACTAAAAACAAAATAGTAAAATGAGGAAATCTAAACCTCAAGGCAAGGCCAGGCAAGGCACAGTGGCCCATGCTAGTAATCCTAGCATCCTAGCACTTTGGGAGGCTAAGGCAGGAGGATCACTTCAAGTCAGGAGTTCAAGAACAGCCTGGGCAACACAAGGAGAGACCCCATCTCTACAAAAAAAAATGTCTAAAAAATTAGCTGGGTGCAGTGCCATGCACCTGTTACCTGCAGTCCCAGCTACTCAGGAGGCAAAGGTGGAAGGGCTGCTTGAGCCCATGAAGTTGAGGGTGCAGTGACCTATAATTGTCACTGCATTCCAGCCTGGGCAATAAAGTGAGACCTTGTTTCTGAGAATACATACACACACATACACACACACACTCACACACATACACTCACACCCCTACCTCAAGGCCCAAACCAGAAATTCAAAATACGCTCACTGAATGTCTACTATATGCCAGGCATTGGAGTTCATAGCAAACTGGATAAGTCAAAGTAAACTGGATAAATTCTTGCCTTGTAATCTTGTGGGATAGAAGGATAAGAAGCAAACAATCGAATATGTAATAGATAATTATAATGAGATAAATTCTGTAAGAGAAAGAGAGAAAAAGAAGCAGGCTAAGAGATTACAGTGAGATGATTAGTAAGATAAAAAAGCAGGAAAGGTCTGAGGAACCACTGACATTTGAACAGAGACGTGAATGGAAGTCAAGCGCCTATCTAGGGAAATAGCCTTCGAGAGAGATAGAGTACAGCAACTACAAAGATCCTGAGGCAGGAGGTTTCTTAGCAAGTTTGGTGAACAGCAAGAATTAAAGGGTGGTTGAACACACTTTAGAGAAGGGACACATTTGAAAGAGGGTTTTGAGAAGGAGACAGACATAATTGAATTTGCATTATTATTATTATTATTTTTTGGAGACAGAGTCTTGCTCTGTCGCCCAGGCTGGAGTATAGTGGCATGATCTCGGCTCACTGCAACCTCTGCCCCCAGGGCTCAAGTGATTCTCTTGCCTCAGACACCCAAGGAGCTGGGATTACAGGTGCACACCACCATGTCTGGCTAATTTTTTGCATTTTTAGTAAAGAGAGAGTTTCACCACATTGGTCAGGCTGGTCTCAAACTCCTGACCTCAAGTGATCCACTCACTTCAACCTCAGTAAGTGCTGAGATTACTGGCATGAGCACTGTGCCCAGCCTAATTTGTATTTTAAAAGGATCACTTTGGCCTTTGTATGAAGGTTAAACTATAGGGGCAACAAGAGTAGAAGCAAGAACACATTCTCATTCCAGTCTGCCTTCACAATATTAAATAATCGAATGCCATTTACTCTAATATATATGCTATCATGTATATGATTGAACCAATCTGACTCCTTTTGTTGCTTTTCCCTTTGTTAACTGGCTACAGTATCCAACCAAAATGTTGTGTTATATAGCTTCAGGGCACTTCTCCAACTGTAAGTAGGCAAAGGTAGCACTAGCTCCCAAACGGAAAACAGTCTCTGTTCTAGAGTCACCTAACAAGAAACAAGTGAGAACAGGAAACAACAAAATGTTTGCACCCAGGGATTTTCTAAACCCACAATACAGACATATCACAGGCCTTAGCAGTTAGGATCAACATATGCCGCCAAAAAAACTGCTAGAATGCTACAAGGTGAAGTATTTTAAAGCAGCGAACAGACTGACCTTCTGTATCTGTAGCACTGTTGATAACATTAGAAAGTTTGGTTTTCAGGCTTGTGTGTGTCACCGTGTTTCTCACATCACTCTCATAACGTCCAGTGCCCAAGGATACTATGCACTCTAATGGTACATCTGGCCAAAGGCATTTACACTCATGCATAGCTAATGCTGAAGGGTTATTCAGAAGCAAACCTCCATCCTGCAAAATACAAGTTAAAAAAAGAAACTCTTAAAACTGACTCACAGGGAAAGCTGAACTATGCAATAAGCTAAATAAATTATTTAAAACCATTAAGTTCCTTTAAAGTGCATTTCTTTTATAGACTGCAGCTGCAAAAAACGTCATGTGAAGACTCATTGGCCTCCTAAGGAAACTTCTTATTAAGCTTTCCTTTCCTATTATAAAAGTTCTTTGAACTTCTTCTTGAATTGCTTTGCAAATTTTGCTCAAAAATATCGAAATGAACAGAATTACTTTTCAAAAACACGTTATCTTTAGTGGTTAACACAGGTTCTACTTAAAGCCCAACAGGAAAGAACTGTGGTTCTACCACATTTAAAATTAGTTCTTCTCTCACAAGTCAAATATAACCAAATAATTCTAAGTTAGCAGAAATTCCATTAACAACACACTTTCAAGGGATCACATTCATTATACTGCAGATAAAATGTAAGTAACATAGACAAATCTTTATATTTCTATTTATCAGTAATCAATACTATTTGGAAGAATTCAAAAGGAAACAAAGGTATTAATAAAACATGCTGATAGAGCACTATAAAAATGTAGTAGAGGAAAGTAGATAAAATTATGGTCAAACTATAATAAAACGTATTGCAGAACTGTATTAAAAGACTATTACATCATAAATATTATATTGTATTTAAAATCTATAAAAATATACTGAGCACAGTGGCTCATACCTATAATCCCAGAACTTTGGGAGGCCAAGGCAGGAGAATCGCTCGAGTCCAGGAGTTCAGGACCAGTCTCAGCAACATAGAGAGACCTCTACAAAAAACTAAATTAGCCAGGCATAGTATACATACCTGTAATCCCAGCTACTCAGGAGACTGAGGTGAGAGAATTGCTTGAGCCCAGGAGGTCAAGGCTGCAGTGAGTAGAGATCACACCACTGCACTCTAGCCTGGGCGACAGAGCAAGACTTTGTCTCAAAATCAAACCAAACCAAAACAAACCAAATAAAATCTAGAAAAACAAATCTGATTTAAAATGGTTTAAGTGACTGCTCAGCCTCTTTTTCCTGTTCAGCTCCCATCCATGGCAGTTAACTGTTGAGTACAGGGAAAGGCATTTCTTCAGTGGTAAACAACCTGAATAAACTTGAATGAATTTTTTTTTTCTTTTTTTGAGATGGGAGTCTCACTCTGTCCCCTGGGCAGAAGTACAAGTGGCACGATCTTGGCTCACTGTAACCTCTGCCTCCTGGGTTCAAGCGATTCTCCTGCCTCAGGCTCCCCAGTAGCTAGGATTACTGGCACCTGCCACTACGCCCAGCTAATTTTTTGTATTTTTAGTAGAAGCAGAGTTTCACCATGTTGGCCAGGCTGGTCTCAAACTCCTGACTTTGTGATTCGCCCGCCTTGGCCTTCCAAAGTCCTGGGATTAACAGGTGTAAGCCACCATGCCCAGCCAACTTGAATGATTTTTTATGTCACTGATGCTTGGCATCTTCCTTGGAATCAGCACTATTACTGCTGAGAATTGTTAACAGACCTTGGAATTAACTTAGTTCAATCTCCCACATAGAGCCTTAAACAGTTTTTGACAGAATTCTTTTTTTTTTTTTTTTTTTTTTTTTTTGAGACGGAGTTTCGCTCGTTACCCAGGCTGGAGTGCAATGGCGCGATCTCGGCTCACCGCAACCTCCGCCTCCTGGGTTCAGGCAATTCTCCTGCCTCAGCCTCCTGAGTAGCTGGGATTACAGGCACGCGCCACCATGCCCAGCTAATTTTTTGTATTTTAGTAGAGACGGGGTTTCACCATGTTGACCTGGATGGTCTCGATCTCTTGACCTCGTGATCCACCCGCCTCAGCCTCCCAAAGTGCTGGGATTACAGGCTTGAGCCACCGCGCCCGGCTGACAGAATTCTTAAACATGTTCAGTAATATGGTGCATACAAGCTAGTAAAGCAGCTCATTTCACTGTAAAGTAATTTTTCAGATTATACAGTAAAATTAACTTTTTTGGTATGCAGCGCTATGAACTTTAATGCATATAGATTTGTGTAAATATTACCACAATCAAGATACAGAATAGTTTCATCACCCCCCGAAACTTTCTCATGCTATCTCTTTGTAGGCACCCCTCCTCCCACCCCTAACTCTTGACAACCACTGATCGGTTTCCTACTACTGTGGTTTTGATTTTTTAAGGAGGTCATACGAAATCTAATAATACAGTATGGGACTTCTTGAAACTGCCTTCTCTTTCTGAGCATGTCATTGAGACTAATCCAAGTGTTGCATGTACCAACAGTTTGTTCCTTTTTACTGCGGATTATATGGATGTACCACACGGTTCATCCATTCATCCACTGTAGGACCTCTGGGTTACTTCCAGCATTTTGACTGTCACAAATAAAGAAGCTGCTACAAACATGTGAGTACAGGGTTTTGCATGTACATAATTTTTCATTTCTCTAGAGTAAATACTCACAAGTGCAACTGTTGGATCATATGGCAAGTATGCGTTTAACTTTATAAGAAACTGCCGAAACATTTTCAAAGTGGTTGTCCATTTTGCATTCCCACCATCAATGTCTAAAAGTTTCAGTTGCTCTGCGTCTTATTATAGTAACACTTGCTACTGTCTGTATTTATTATAGAGATAGATAGATAGATAGATAGATAGATAGATAGATAGATAGATACGTGGTGGCATTTCATCATTGTTTTAATTTGCGATTCCCCAATGCCTAATGATGCTGGACGTCTTTTCACATCCTCATTTGCTATCCCTTTAGCCCCGCTCAAGTGTCTGTTCAAGTCTTTAGCTCATATTGTTAAACTTTTTCTTACATATTCTAGATATAACTCCTTTGTTGGATATGTGGAGTTGCAAATATCTTCTTCCTGTATGTCGCTTGTCTCCTCATCCTCTTGGCAGTATATTTGCAGAGCTAAATTTTTAATTTTGATGAAGTCCAATTCATCAATTTTTAAATTTCATGGATGATGATTTCAGTATAATTGTTAAAAGTCTTCACCTAACCCAGGTCACTTCAGTATAACTGTTAAAAGTCTTCACCTAATCCAAGTTTTTATTCTAAAAGTTTCATAGTTTTGTTTTAAATTAAGAACTACGATCCATCATAAATTATCTTTGTATAATGTGTGAGGTTTAGGTCATGGTTTCTGGGGTATGTGTGTTTGGGTGTGTGGCGGAGGATTAGGGGAAAAGAGAGAGAGAGAGAAAGATGACCAATGGTTTCAACTCAATTTTTGCTGAAAAGACTATCCTTTCTGCATTGAACTGCTTTTGTATCTTTGTCAAAGATCACATGGCCTTACACGTATGGATCTATTTCCAAACTTGCTATTTAATTACATTTATCTATGTATCTATCTTTATGCAAATACCACACTGGTAGAGTAGCCAAGGCTATTTAGAGTTAAGTTTTTAAATTGGGTACTGTGATTCCTTGAAACTTTTTATTCTTTTAAAATTGTTTAGGCCATGTGCAGTGGCCCACGTCTGTAATCCTGGCACTTTGGGAGGCTGAGGCAGGCAGATCACCTGAGCCCAGTTCAAGACCAGCCTGGCCAACATGGTGAAACTTCGTCACTACTAAAAATACAAAAAATTAGCTGGGCATGGAGGCGCGCACCTGTAGTCCCATCTACTCAAGAGGCTGAGGCACGAGAATGGCCTGAACCTGGAAGGTGGAGGAGGTTGCAGTGACCTGATATTGTGCCACTGCACTCCAGCCTGAGTGACAGAGTGAGACTCTGTCCCTAAATAAATAAATAATAATTGTCTAAACTACTCTGAGTCCTCTGCCCTTCCATATAAATTTTAGAATCTGATAGTATAATTTTTAAAAATCCTACTGGAGTTTTCATGGGCATTGCATTATATTTCTAAATCACTTCAGGAATATCTCCCATCTTTACCATGTAGCATTTTTCAACCATGATGCCTTCCCATTTATTAGGTCTTCTATTTCTTTCATCTTTTGTTTTCAACATGCAGATTCTCTCTGTTTTGTTAGATTTATATCTAAGCATTTAATTTATTTGGATTGTAAACTGTAGGGCTTTTTGTTAAAGTTTTGATTCCCAATTATTCTTTGCTTGTATATAGGAATATAATTGATTCTCCCAAGTAGTTTTCTTTGTATAAAATCTTCTACCCCGCCATTAATGCTCTGGCTTGAAGGTCCCATTAAAAACATCATATGTAGGATTTTGCCTTACTAATGAAGTATATTACTGTTACTAAATTTCTCATGGAATGTGAATCACACTCCTCATCTTTTCACAAATTTATGCTCAGTTATTTTAGGGGGAATGATAGTATTTTGCAAACCACAGATTATAACTCTTCATTTCTGGCATTACAAAACAACTTTCTCAAAAACCTATATCTCAAGTAATACTCTGGTTGGTTCAATAAGATCACATTAGGAGGCAGCTAATACACAGAAATGTTCCTAAATACTAACAACACTTCCCAGAGAAAGTTAATTGGCTCTTTAGTAACAGAACAGCCAGTCTGAGGCAAATGTACCTTTACTGTGGCAAATGTCATTTATCACCAATGTGTAGCTTTGTGCTACCCTTGAGATAACTGGGATGCATGGGGCTGTGTTGACATTAAGAAAAGCACTTTGCCTTATCTTTTTATTGCTTGCTCTATTCTCCATTTTAGCATAGATAGTTTGTTGCCACTTCCAGCCCAATCTTTCCTTCACTGAGTTGCTAATCTCCAGCACTCTCTAACTACATCTCTTTGAAATAATGTGTCTTATGTTTCTACACCATGACTTACATGAGAAAAGGCTACCCTTTTCAAAGACATCTCTTGTCAAAAGGGATACATTTACTTGTAAACCCACCATATTTCAGGTCTTTGGTTCTTTCCATAAATGTCTCTTTATGGCTTAGGTATGTCTGAGTTGGTATAGTCTCTGAAATCGAAAGATTACGGAAAGCTGGTCTGTGGATGACCCAAG